GACCAGTATTGGCGCGAGGCCGAAGGAGCCAAGCCACGCGCCGCCAAGAAACGTGAAGAAGAAGCCGAGAAGCGAGCAGAGGCCGCAGCAAAGAAAGTCGAGGTGCGTCGGCTTGCCGAGTTAGAGGAGAAAGAACTCGAGAAGTCGATTAAGAAGACGGATAAGAAAGCCAATCGTGTGGCCGCTCCGGTACCAAAGGTTACTGAGGCAGAACTAAGGCAGAGGAAGGAGGCGGAGCAGGCAGCATTGGCAAAGAGGGCGGAGGAGGACAACAGGAGGCAGAGTCGTATGGCGGTAGAGGAGGAGTATGAAAAGATGGTGCTCGTAACCAATAGGAATCGTGATGATTCAATTATAGAGGCTAGTACTGTGGATGATGCAATTGCTCACTTGGCTATTTCAGAAAGTTTGCCACCAGATAGGCATCCTGAGAAGAGACTCAGGGCAGCCTTTAAGGTATTCCTCAGTAGCTTTGCTTGCTGTTTCAGACACAACTCTTATGATTAAGAGGTCTCCACGACACACCTGCACATTTTTGTTTGGGTTGTTAATTTTTGTACTTGTAGGCTTTTGAGGAGGCTGAGCTTCGTGCTCTGAAGGAGGAGAAACCAGGACTGACACACACTCAGTACAAAGACTTGATTTGGAAGCTATGGAAGAAATCTCCGGATAATCCTCTTAACCAGGTACTTAAACTTCACGAATGGGTCATGATCTTTCTGTTGGTTCCATCTCTGAATGTTTTTTATGCTTAGTTTCCTGGTATTTATCTCAATTACACCAGTTGCATAGGTCAGAATTGAATAATCCTTATGATTCCTTGGATGATTACCATACCAAGGCTAGCATAATCAGTGACATCTTCCTTATTAATTACATGACCTGAGCTATTGACTACACATTGATTGAAATGAATTCACTATCTTGATGTTTCCATACTAGGTATGTTGTTATTGTTTTATCTTGATGTTTCCTACACATTTCAGGAGCTTGTGAATGTTGACGTTGGATTTGATCTGTGAAAGTAGGAATACCTGAAACTAAATGTTCCAAAATGAGTATTTTATTAGATAGAAATAACTATTTGGTGGTGAGTAAGTGTACAGCGAATAGAAAGTATCATGTTATGTTCACCTGTTTCCCAATTATAACAATTTCAGGCTCATGCAACTGATTATTCAAATGAGCAGAGTTCATTTTCCAAATCCTGTGCTGATGTTTTGTCTATTTCCATGGTTTGGTTAATGAGGTGGTTGGGATCTGTTATTCCAGTTTTTGTATGTTCTCACTCTATCTCTAGCTTCAAGGCTACTTGAGAGTTTAATTGCTTTTCCTTTTGAATACGTGGAGCTTATTGATAGTGAAACGTAATCTTATCAAAAGCAAAAAAATCCGTAAGGTCCATCGAGTAGTTAAGCTCAAAATGCACATAAAATGTGGGCTTTGATGAAAAAAGGCACAAAGGGAGAAAAAAAATACAAATATGTATGTTTAGTCCAAGACTAATATTTATTAGTGTGAATTTCAAATATATAAACAAAAATTGATTTTTTTTCAAAACTAATAAGTGAAATACTAATTCTTTAGTGTCGCCTCTTCAAAAAAGGCTCATTAGCAAGGAAAAGTATGCCTTAGAACCCAAAGACGACACAGGAGTGCACATCAAGTGACGCTAAGTGCTCAATATGTTTTGAGCCTCCTTTCAGCGCTTAAGTGCGTCTTTGACAACACTGGTGAAATGTTGGATCACATTTGACTATTTGAGGAAACATGAATACACTGAACAATGGTTCTGTTTAGTTTGGTTTTGATATGGGCCTGGTATTTGGGCTACTTATGCTATTATAACCTTTTACAAGATTAGGCAAATCTCCATAGAGATTTTTAAAACAACCAATACGTCTTACACCTCAACACCAATAACCAGGACAGAAACTTTTGTACCATCAAAGAAGAAACAAATTAAACTTCTTCCTGCACTTTATCCTTTGTGCTATAGAATTTAATCAGACAAAACCAAAATAGATGCCAGATGGAAGTATGTTAACATGAAGGTTGATCTATATATGCACAATGGATGGCAATCTGGTTGTGAATCCCTTTCTCATTGAAATGAAAAACAAAGGAAATATGTATATTTAGTTGTAATGTACTGAAATATAAATTTACTGAAGAGTAATTTGGGATGGTGCCTCCTTAAGAAGTTGTGCATGAAATGTTCACAATCTAGCTTCCACAAGGTTCACTATTTAGCGAGATAAAGGAGATCCTTCTTACCCCTAAGAATGGAGTGACCTATGTTTACCTTTACGAGGGCGAGGAATAAAAGTCAACAATCAACTTACCCACTTTGGTGTCCCATTGTTCTCCTAGTTCATAAATCAAGGAGAAGGATAGGGTCGCTAGGTCAGAAAACATAATCTAAAAAAATTTTAAAAGATGAGAATTCACTTTAAAACTAATATTTAGTGCAAAGTATTGCTTAAATTTTCTTAAGTTCTTAAAATAACTTATTTACTTACTGATTTCTTTTTATGACATGGAAATACTTTAAAGAAGAAAATTTAAAGAAAAAAATTGCTTCAGGTATCATGGTTTTTGCTCTCTTGTCTATTTACCTTACTCCCTCTGTTTCAATTTATGTGTCCTGTTTTCTGTTTTTGTTTGTTTCAAAAAGAAGACGTAGTATTTTCTGTTTTTAGTCTTTCTTTTATTCCAACAACTCACATGACATATTTAAGACCATAAGATTAAAAAATCTTTGATACTTGAATTCTGTGCCAGTCAAATTAAGACGTATAAAATGAAGTGGAGGAAGTATTAATTAGTGACATATAATTTTATTGACCACCAACATTAAAGTAGGTAAAGTAAGCTACATTACATGTTATGTAACGTGCTAAAAACCATTGTTTCGACATCATTAATTGGAGTCATGTTTCACCAAAAAGCTTAAAGTAAGGATATACATCTTTATTTCACTTTACTTTACTTTAATAACATAAGCATTTTTGCTCTCAAGAAGCCTTGCATTTCCTTTGCTGGTTTAATTTTACCTTTATGAAAACAATTCTAGTGATATTCCATTTTTAAGGATCCTAGAAATAGTTATGGGACAAAATAAGCTAAAAACTCCTCAATTATTGAATTATGTCTCCCTGAGAGTTGATTATCAAATAAGATGGAAAGCTTTAGATTTCCATACAAGGGACACATTTGAAGAGCTTCGCTGAATGGAAGTGTCAGTAGTCAATAGTTTGATCTGCAGTAAATGGATGCTGGATAATTTATGGAGTTGGGGTTTTTCGGTTTCCCTCCTATTGAGTTACTGTCATGTTTAGCCTTTTGCGGTGTTTATAACGGAGTGTTGCTTGATATTATGATCTTAATTTTGTGCAGGTCGCAGATAAGTCATAGGTGCACTTTGTGCTGATGTGGCTGGCAATAGTCCTATGGGTTGAGAAAGGTGTTACTGTGGTGGGGATGTGTTTATGGTATATTGCGTGACCTGCTTGGTGTTGACAGTCTTCTGCCAAAGATGTTTGGGGTGTGCTTCTAGCATGTTGCTTCTGGTTTAAGTGTAATGCTTCCTAATTAGATACTATACCCCCTCTGTATTATGACAATTGATGTCTGCACCATGGTACTCGTGATGTTCTTCCTTTGTTTTACGGTAAATAACATACTTAATTAAGTCCTCTGTATTTGACCGTGAATAATCCAATGAACAACTTTCTGACGCTTTTCAGTAGCCGAAAGGTTGAATAGGAGGAATGCAAGTAAATGTATGAAGGGAAAATGTACAAAGGCATCAGATTATTAATATCTTGCTTAGTAGCATGAATTCATCAATTCTACGATCATATTTCCGTTTCTTTTCTCTCTCTGTTTTCAGCAGATATGACTCTGATCAGTTGGAGTTGTGGATGCCTGCCTATTTTAGGAGCCAAATTTGTGGATAGGAGTAGAGATCATGTTATACAGCTAATCTAGGTTAGGTAAGAGGTTAAGGTATCTACATCAGTAACTAAATATTGGGCGTAAGTCTTGATATGGCAATTGACAGGTACATTGTTTCGTGAGAATGGGTTGAGCACAAACACAGTAGAAGAGGAACTCATCTTGGAAAGAGTTTGTATGTTGTGTTGGGTATCACATGAGTAGGACACAATAAAGAGACATTAAAGGAGAGCCATTATCAGAATTGAGCTTTTGCACGAAATGAATTGATGAATAACCAAACTTCTGGTTCCCCATTAAACTCGCTTTTATTGCGTTGTGTGCAACATCCGCCAAAATAAATTGAATATCATTCCTTCATGCATTCTTGGAGAACTTGAGTAACTTTTACCTATTTGACTGAGGTTTCATCCATTAGTACTCTCTCTGGCCCTAGTTACTTGTCCACTTTTTTTTTTTTTTAGTTGTTTTTAATTACTTGTCTATTTTGACAAATCAAGACACAATTTTTTTTTTAACCTATTATACCCCCAATTAACTACTTTTAAAAAGATAGAATTTCTTGAAAATATTAAAATTTTAATTTATTCACTTCATAATTAATATGGATAAAATGGTAAACTCACTATGTCAATTATTATTTACTTAATAAATTTGTCAATTCAAAAGTGAACAAGTAATCAGGGATAGAGGAGAGCAACAGTTTCAAATAACTTGCATTTTTTTTTTTTTCCTGAGAGCTAACTATCTCTAGTTTAAATCAGTGAGAGCTGTATTGATAACCGTAATGTCTTAATCGGCTTCCACGCATGTTAGCAATTCTGCCCACCAAAATAAAGGCAAATAGGAAAAATTCTTCTTTCACCCACTTGCCGAGTTAATAAATAATAATGTTGATAATTTATACGAGTTATGTTGCAATGGCACCAAGCGAATGCGTTGAAAATTTCGTTGGTTTACAAGTTGTAAAAAATGGAAGTAGTACATTTAAACTCATAATTGCAATGTCGGCACACTAGGAGCGAGTTAAATTTTGTCTTAATTCTGTTTTAATGGTAGTATGGTACTTGTATCAACTTTATAGTAAATGCTAATACCAAACATTGAGCTACTGGAATTTATGGTGAAGGACCACAAATCCCAGGAACAGCCAGAAATTATGCTGTTATACGTCAGGGTTGCTCTGATTTATGCAGGTAACTTAAAACATAAAAGCAAAACCCTGAAAACGATTCAAAATTCGTTCAATGTTTAGATAGGCATGTTGGCGTTGCCCTTGACTCTGAGTGTGTACAATGTTTGGTAGTTCAAGTGCCAAAGGAGGAATTTCCTCACTCCTGAGATGCAGGGGAGTTCCCAAGGCCAAGAAGAGAACAATTGTGGTTGGTCTCAAATCCGATAACAGCAGCAGAGAAATGCTGCTTCGTTTGCTCAATTTAGTCGTAATGCCCGGGGACTATGTTCTGTCTGTTCATGTACAAGAACCAAATGATACATTTGATCCAAATACTTTTCACATTCATGAGGATCTATGTAAATCCAAGCAGGTCATTTTGCACTCTCAACTGTTCATGCCCACCAATTGTTTGCTAAATTGCTAATTCTGTAGTGTACAAATATTTTTCTTTCAGGTGGATTTTCAAATCAAGGTTTGTGCAGGAGAGACATACATAAATGAGTTGAGTAATCAAGTACGTATAAACTTTGCCACAATGCTTGCCGTAGGATGCAGCAGCTCCAGGTATACATTTTTCCTCTCCTGTTTTTGTCTAAAGGTATCCATTCGGTGGTTCCTCTCCCTATATTTGTCTCATTTAGACTTTTGATGTTCAGGCCAAGTGATCAGATTGCTGGCAAAATTTTGAAAGAATTGCCTCCTACTTGCTCCCTTCTAGTAATGGATAATGGAGGAAAAATCCTACTCCAGAGGCCGGGGACTTCCCAAGAAGGTGCTCCCATTAAAGTTTTTCAATCATCTGAGTCCTCTCTGTCAGTGTCCAGCAGCTCTACACTGTCAAGAGACAAGTATCAGATTCAAAAATCTTTGTCAATGACATGTTCTTCAACGACAACTTCATCACAGCCGAATAGAAATGCAACTTTTCCTAGAAACAAGAAGCTCAATAATGCTACAGCTAAGAGTCTGTTTCAGAGAATAGCTTGCTTAGAATCAATGGGCTGCGCCAGACGCTTCACAACGGATGAACTTAGCTGCGCAACAGACAACTTCAGTCCCAATTTATTGACCGGAGTGGGTGGACATAGTCAAGTCTATCGAGCCAATCTCGAGAATGGCCAGCTTGCAGCAGTGAAGGTCCTTAAAAACACACGATACGCCGAGGATGATCTTTTTCAGGAAGTTGAAATACTGAGTAATCTGAAACACGAGAACTTAATTCAGCTTGTCGGTTACAGTTACAGTAAGGATATGCAAGCAATCGTGTATAATCTACTGAAGGACAGTCTGGAGCAAAGACTAAAACAGCTTAATTGGAACACAAGGATGCAAGTTGCGATAGGAGTGGCAAGGGGATTGGAGTACCTCCATTCTCAAACCCCTCCTATCGTTCACAGAGATGTGAAATCATCAAATATTCTCTTATCTGATGATTGCCACCCACAAGTAAGTCTCTTATTAGCTTGCTTTCCTACATTAGATGGCTTCTCATATTCATTAGAATGTATGCGTTACACTGATTTCCATTGTGAAACTATGCTATTGTGAGATGCTTGCTGACTAGTCTACTAAGAGATGTAAGGGTCATCTAATTCCTTTTTATTGGTTTTCCCCTCTATAACTATGATAAGCCTCTTAAGCATACCTAAAGCATATTTGGGACCATTAAAGATAGAAAAAAGATTGACAGAATCATGGTGTTCATATGCATTACTTGGTGAATTCTAAACCTATTAGTTGCTTTTAGGCCACATAAGTGAAGACTGGATTTGTTCTTACTTCAATAACTTTTTATGAATATCTGATGCCTAGATGATCGATTCGGATAAGCTGTAGCCTGTAGCCGATAAAATTTCTACATCCACTTTTGTTACACTTAATGATTTTTGAAGCTGAAACCTAGCTATCAGATTTTGGAGCAGCAGTGGTATACCAGGAAACTCAGCAAGATTCAGCTTGTGTGAAACCAATTCACGTTGTTGGGACATTTGGATACCTGGCACCTGAGTACATCATGTATGGCAAAGTTGATGAGAAGATAGATGTATACTCTTATGGGGTGGTTCTGCTAGAATTGATCACAGGGAAACGAGCCATCGAAAAAGACTTGGAAGCTCATCATGAAAGCTTAGTGTTGTGGGTAATAATACGAAGCATGTATGCCTACAGCAAAAGATAAAATATGTTTCTTCAATGATTTGACTCTAGATAATGTGAATTGCAGGCAAGGTCTCTGCTCAGTTGTGGTCTTAGTGACCGTCTTGTTGATCCTGACATAAATGAGAACTACAACAAAGATGAGATGAAAACAATGATGTTTGCAGCACGGCTCTGCCTCTTGCATTCATCTTCAAGGAGGCCAAAAATGAAAACAGTTAGTCATTTTCTTTGTCTTGTTCTTTCTTTGAATCATTTTCCTTAATATTGACATCATCAATAGCCTGCTAACCAATTGTAAGAGAACTCTTTTGTAGTTGCTTGTTTTGATGAATTTTAAATCATAATTAACTGGATTTTTTTAAGATTTTGCTTCTAATTTTCTTGATCAATAAAGCAGCATTCCACCAATTGTATCCAGCTCTAAGAATGTGCTGTAATATTTACGACAAAATGCAAAACAAGGATTCTAAATCTGAGAAAGTTTCAGCCTCATCTACAAATCCCATTCTAGACAAATAGGAAACAGAAGTATACACTTAAATTTGCTTCTCGTTTGATAAACTCAACATACATTGGCATAAACTAGCAGGAATATACTGACATAAACTTGTGAGTTCATGATGATGGAAACTAAATTATTGCCACTATCAAAGTTTATGAGTGATGCTAAAAATAATGTGAATGGTGATGAAATAGACAAAAAATTTAGATTTTGCTGGTTTGCAGATCCTGCGTTTGTTTGAGGAGCCAGAGCGCTGGTTAGAACTGCAGAGAAAGAGAGAAGAGCTTCTTGATGGAATTGGTTTAGAAGATGAAAGTTGGTTGTGCAGATATTATGGATCAGATTCTGACGCGGGCATGTTCATAGAGGATAGCTGATCACATATTCTTGAGTTTTCCATGATATATTGGTATATATATATATACTGGTGTTTTGTTTGTCATCAGTGCACCACTCTCTCTCAGCAACAACAAGATACCCAGTGTGATTCCACAAGTGGGATCTGGGGAGGATAGGGTGTACACATACCTTAACCTTACCTTGTTGAGGACCACACTCTCTCAACCCAGTCACTAAATTAAAATGACAAAAAGAGAAAATGGAATTAGAGGAACCATTTCTCTAGTAAATTGTAGTTCTATGTAAGAGTGATATTAGAGTACCAACAGAAATGTCATTATGTAGTCAAACATTATTCCTGAAGTGTAAGCTCTGTCTTTTGCCTCAGAAATATGCTAAAGATTTTTCCTTGAATAACATCGCCAACAATTTTTTAACCTAGAATTTAATTTTCTTCTTTGCTAATTCCATAGATCAATATCATGTGCCCTTACATTATTACTATTATTATTGGTTTTCTCTCTTGCTGATTCCAATTGAAGAAACTGTGTTGGTCTTTTCCTCCTTTTTGGTTACGCTGGGGGAGTGAGGAGGGGTATATGAGCTCGGCCTGAAGGTGATTTATTTCTTCAATTTCATAAAACATCACAGAACAGAAACATTGTCTCAGTCCTCTCAAGTCTCAACAAAATATTGAGATGCATAGAGTGACTACAAATATCTTCGCACATAACGAAAAAGATACCAAATCCTCTAAGGCAGAGGATCCACTGATAGAAATTATTGGAAGTAATATATAGAGACTATGAGGAGAAATTAATTATCTGTGACATTCATTCAGTCGGTTCAATGACACTATTTTTCTGCAGCCAGCTGAGCAAAGTTAATTGGAGAAACATAGAGTGTTGGACCACCGTAAAGTGTGTTAGCTGCCAACCGTGCAGCAGCGTCTGTAGGGTGGAATAAGTCCCAGAATATGTACTGTCTGCGATCTGAACAGAGACTAGCTGTTGCATTACAAATTCCTTCAGCTTTTAGTGCTCCATGTCCACAGCAGGCTGTGTCCACATTTTTGAAGTCTGAAATGCAAGGAAAACATCATTCTCACGTTATTAGTTTGCTACTCACATGGTAGTAAAGAGAATGAAATCTAATATGTATTAGTTCGCATAACAATAGGATTTTATGTCATATCCTCTTGAGAAAACTTTTATTAGTAGCATAGATAGCGTATTGTAGTATAATCATAAATTCTTTCTTAATTGTAGAACGTTTCATCCTTAGTGTAGAGTAATTTGTCCAGAGAAGTGCTTACTGAAGGGATGTGGATTATCTATAACGTCAATGGTCATTTTGTATGTGTCCCAAGCGCATATTTCATCCCGTGTAGCTCTGAGGTTAGGTTGCACATTAGCTTGTCAAGAGCTGAATGGAAACATCTGGCAAAATCATTCATGGGCTCGAAACACCTTGTCCCATTCAAAAGTCTGTTGGCTGGACAACAACCTACAGGTGGCACACTTATGATGCCAAACTTCCGTGCTCCGAGGCTGTACAAAGTCTATTATATACAGATGTCTTAGCTTCATATATATACCATCTTTGGGATTCTACTTATGCAAGTTGAAGGAAGAATTTCACATACAAGACCAACCTTTATGTGGTTCTCATACGCTTCCATGAGATGATTGATAAACTCTTCTTTAGGCAATGTACTCCTGGTCTTGAAATAAACAAAGATGTCATTGCTCCCGGTACTGATACAGAACAAAGATTTTGCGAGCAATGCTTTTGTTGATTCATGACCAAGTGAAGCAATCAAATTTTCGCGCACAGTGACGAATTGATTGATCTGCTGTGGCAAGTTAAGGACATTCTGTTTGGAGAGAGATAGGTATGAATACATATTTAGACGTTGGAGTGATCAAAGTATTTTCCTTACTCTTTTGTGAGAGATGATTATTGAGCATATTATTCAGATATTAGGAATGAAAAGGCTTACCAGCTGTGTAAGCCAGTGTCATCAAGGAGACCAGAACCTCCTGAGGCGAAGTTTACACCTCGATATATACCCAATTGAAGACCGTATTTCAGGCTGTGAAGAAATAGAAAAGGGGGCGGGCTACTATTGTATCCGAAAAGCCTTGCTGCAGTTAGAAAGGACAAGATTAATCTCCATTAGCATTGCATGTGTAATAGTGAAATGTCCACACTCAAGGGTGTGACCTAGCGGTCAATAAAATGAGTAAAAACCATACGAGACTAGTGTTCAAATACCATTAGAGACCAAAATCACTAGGCGATTTCTTCTCATCTACCTAATCCTTAGTTGACAGGGCAAAGTTACCTGATACATGTGCTGGTGGAGATAGCACATACCCGGTGAAATAGTCGAGGTGTGCAGAAGTTTAGCTCAAACACCACCATATAAAAAAATTGGAAAGTGATAGTGAAATGACTGAATATGCGACATGCATGTAGAATAAGTAGGAATGCTTGCTCAAAATCTTATTGGTTATATTCCTTAGATCTAATGCTAAAACTTTAGTAACACTAACCAAGATGATCAGCACTGTTGAGTCCATTACTGAACCTTCCAGTTGGCCTTGAGTTGACAAAATCAATGCCATTATGAGGAAAGTTAGCTAGTGCTTTGCAGTCAGGGATGTAAGAATTAGTTCCAACATCTGCTGTTGAATCCCCTGTGTATCAGCATTGACTAAATTGGGGACAAATATTGATAGAGCCAGAAGAATAAGAAGAGAGAAAGGACACATCTTTTCCATGGCGAAAACAAGGTTGGTAACAACGTTTATTTTAGTGTAGTTCCTTCTCTCCTATCTATGTTCTTGGTATGTTTGAGTTAGTTACACATACCTTTGCGCTATCTTCCTCCTGGAGAGAAGGTAATTTATAGGTTATTCAATTGAGCATAAACAAATTATGCGTTTAAATTCCAAAGCAGAAGAAGATACTGAATACCTGCTAACCAAGCTGGGGCGGATTGCCCAGTAGTTGGTTTGTTTAATTCTAATCACACAGTTTAGAATTATTTATTTCATATTCTGATGAAACAGTCCATATGCATTTTCGGCATGCTTATTTATCAACTTGGATTATTTGTCTCTTTATAATTGTCTTGAGGAAATTTCTATTATTGCTTTATGAAGCAAATTGAGAAGTTCTTGTTACTACGATAGAAGCAAGTGAGAAATGTCTTTATATGTTTGTTTTTATTGTTGGCCTTATTCTACATTGAAGATGGTTAGTATTTTTTCCTGATGAAGTTATCAATTAATTATTTCGGTGACAGTTACCCATTCCTCTTAACAGGGAACACATGATGTGTAAACTCTATGAGACTTATTATTTGTAAGTGGGGAACTTTAAACAGCATTATACATAATTAGTGACTTAATACAAACACTAATGCTAGATACATGCCTGAATTCTAATAAGCAATAATACAAATTACAGTGTGGGAATGGATTAGTAAAATAGTTGGAAGTGATAAATGCTTAGCAACAATGAAAAGATGACAAAAGGGCTTTTTATTTTTTCTTTTGTGAAGTATTAGTAAGTGCTTCTTCTTGGTCTTTGGAAGAACTATAATGTTCTTATGGCTCAACCCTTGGCCCTACCACAGTGCAGAGCATTCTTTGGAATAGGATATTCATCACGGAATGATTTAACTGGTGTATAAACTCGCAAATAAAATTGTTGGCCAAGGTACTGCCTTGCCCAGAATTGACTCCTCAGGTTCCACATTCCTACATTGTCCAGGGGCACATATATTGCCGTCCATGATCTTGGATAAACCTGTCAAGATTAAAAAAAACTTAACATTTTGTGCTTTGTATTCAGAAGTTAGAAAGATGGCATTATGAAACATAATATTGAGTAATTAATGAATTGATTATTTGATTCTAACCTGTGTGGTACAGCGTGAAACTGCGTCTATAAGGTTGTACTGGTTTTTACTTGCAGGACTCCATCTGCCTACATCCATCCTGTGAAAATTACAGTATGTCACTGTTTAGTAACTAAGTGCATGAATTTTTTGTGTATAGACTGAGATGTTCAGGTGTAATTACCCGACGACGAAGAAAGAGTATCCATCAAGATGCCAACTTTGGACAATGTTCTCTCTGTTCTCAAATACAATCTCTACAAATGCTCTGTAGTCTGCTCCCATAACTGCTGTGTCAAGGTGAATTTTTCGACCTGCAGGCTTATCCTGGATGCTTCCAACTTTGAACACTCCATCGATATTGTAATAGTCTGCTAACTTAAGCGGCGTATCAGCTGGAATGAAGGATACACCATTAACTGCATATCTCTGTTTTTTATCAACTAAGCCAGCATGATTGGCTAGTCTTATTGTTCTTGTGACATTGATCTGACCATAATGGTAGGAGCCTTGAGGGTTTGGTCTTGGCCCACTGGCTGTAAGATTAGTCCTGGAAATCATAGAAAGAACTAGTTTCATAATTTTAAGAATAAACCGAATCACATGCATTGTTGAAAAATAAATGCTGAAGTGTGTGACAGATGAAAAACAGGTCTAAACGTGCAGGACATTTGAGGCATGATATAGCTTAGTAAGTCAATGTGTGCTCTCTCTGACAGTTTAAAATTTTATTGATGAGATGGTCATGTACTTCAACAAAAAAAAATTCAAGAAGGGTGTTGTACCTGATAGAACGCGCCTGATTTCGGGACCAAGAAATATCAGTGGTTGGCCCTGGAGGAGGTAGTCCAGAAACAGTTTTTCTCGAGTTGCTGTAGTGAAGAATGGCTGTAGAATTGAGAATTTGAGTGGTGAAGCGGCTGGAAACAGCTATGTAGTAATCTTGAGCAGTCTGATCTGCAGTGACTAACACTGAGTAGGACTGGCCAACATGTACATCAAGAGAAGACAATGTAGTTTGAATTGTGTGAGTTCCCTCAACTTCAACCAACGTCATTTTGTGTCCCTGAATTTGAAAGTTGAGTGAATTTTGAAGTCCCACATTGGATATTCTTAACCTGTATGTTTTCCCTGGTAAATTATCACCCATTTTCAGCTCATTATTCTACAGGTGGAAATGGTTCTTGAAACAGAAAGAGTCCATTTTGTTTCTTGGCATACCTGGTTCAACAGTGAATTTTGCACCATCACGACCAAGGCCATTGATCTGAATGCCATCAGGGAATGTAAGCCTCTTTCCACGATCTAAAATTGTTTGTAATACCTGCAAATATATCCAAAATCAACAACTCGAATATCCTCGAGACAAACTAAATTTAGCCCCTTTCCTTATTAAGGAAATATATATGCCAAGATTAAGGTGCTTTAGTGTGACAGAAGTCATTTTTCAACACAATATTTTTGTACGAGTAATATAAGTCATTTTCTGGTGTTTGGTTACGAGAAAATGAAATTATCTTTCCTTAACTTTATAAGTGAAATGAAATGATGTTGGATTAATTTACCTTGTGATCAGTTTTGTACCAATCTCCAATAAGAATAGTGAAATCTCCAGCAGGTTCAGGAAAAGGGACTGGAATTCTTGGTCTACTGAGAATCCTAATTCCTCCAAATCCACCAACAGCTTTGTGGAATTGGAGTGATGGGAAATAGAAGAAACTTCCAATTTGATCTTTCACCTGCATTATGTATGTGAAATTTTGTCCTGGAGGGATGGGACATGTTGTTCCATATACACCATCTTCAAATGAATTTTTTCTTTGTTGGACTCCATTCCTGCATTGTAAATTTTGTTCTAGTAAATTAGTATAACGTATTACGATCCTCCTTAATTAGTACTGCTAAATCCAATTATAGTTTGGTTCATTTTTACCACTTTGGCATATTTTCCTACAACAGATTTTAAAATTGTCAGGGTGTTATGATCTATTTGACCATGTTTCTGAGAAGTTAAAAAGTGTTTATTTTAGAGAGTTGATATCTATGATCAAGGGAAATAAGTGTTTTTGAATAGTAGTATCAGAAACTGTTTTCAATAAGCTAAAAAGATAGCTTCTCCTCGTATTGTTGCTCTAATATTGATAACAAAATAAAATCAAATTAATTAGTACTTAAACACAACTTGATATTCTCCAAAAGTATTTCTTTTAAAATAAGCAAAATTTGAAATTTTGTCCAAACTGGCTATTACATTAGGTGCCTAACAAACAAAAAAATTATGCGAGTTATAGGGTAGAACAACTTATAATCCCTGGAGTCTAGATGCGGCTAGTTAATGCTTAACTTATTGCCGGCTTTTTATGACTTTCCTCATCTTGAAAAAGTCAAATACTTGATAACATCTATTGCCCATGTCTTATTTTAGAAATTAATATACTATTTTTTCAACTCATCAAAAATGTCTCAAATGATGTATGTAAAATATTCTTGCGAAGCCAAGAGAAAATGAAGAAATTAGTAGCATACACAAGGAAACCCTTATGTTTCTTCATTTATGCTAATTGACGTTTCGTCATGGACTACTTTTCCAACAAACCACTTATTAAACCGAACAAGTTTTTTTTATAGGCTTAAATTCATTTACGAAAACTTACATAGATATGCTATATTTAGTATTAAGTCATGATCTACAGTATTCTTGTAAAGTGTAAAATTGAACGTCTATTTCACGGAGTAAAAGGTAAGATCATTGTGTACAAACAACAATAAGGGTGTTTCTAATTATCCGGCGATATTAGAATGTGTCAAAGAGACGCTATATCATTTCATAAGTAAATATATGCATGCAAAGGAGAATAAAAGGATGTTTAATTATGGAACCTAATTTATATATAACGAATACTTACACTATCAATATATTTTATATATGAAAAAAAGAAAAGGTGATAGAAATATACCAGGTGAGAAGAAAAGGGTCAGGCAAGTCATTATGGACGTTGATGATGAGATTGTCATTTGTAACGCTGTGTATATCAGGACCCGGAAATTGCCCATTTATCAGAATTCCCTGTTCATCATCCAAAAGTATAATTGATAATCAGTTTTAATTTTACCGTACGTACGTTTAGAAACTCACAAACTATTATATATATATATAATCAAAAGTTTGTATAGATCTCGTCAAATATCCTTAATTATATATATAAAATAAAATTGGGAGAAGCTAAGTAAAATATATATATACCTGTTGGGGGACACCAAGAGGATATATGTCGCCGTAAGTGATTCTCCAGTCGAAGTATCTGTAAGGATCCTCTGCAACTACTACACCTTCCATGCACAGCGCCAGTAGTAGCGCAATCCAACACCACCTTCTTCCATTTTCCGACCTCATTCGATGATCGTTGAAAGTAACAAATATATATAGGAAAATTGAGAAATGTAGAGTTTATTTGTTTGTATATATATTATATATTATATAGAAGAGATGGAAGTTTGAAGTTTGCGTATGGAATTTGAAAAGAAAAAGAAGTATATATCGTAAAGTTAATTATTAGTAACAGAATGGAAAACACGCCTCATTGCGCCATGCCAGGCTGGCATAAGTATGAATTGAGTAATTAGTAGTATAACTAACTCAACCAAAAAAGGGAGTTTCTTCATCCTCTCTTTTACTTGTAAAACTGACCCCACCATGCATTCACTTTCCACTTGTTTTTCTTCCGTAGTCTCGATGTTGTTGCTCCGAATAGTTTCTGACAGACAACGTTTTATAATTATCCAAGTTAAATTTTTCAATAAACCCTGAGTGGAAATCAAAAGAAAAAATATTATCAAGGAGTAATAAGTACTCATTCATTTTTATGATTAGAGGTCGAGTTTTTCAAATTGCTTTTTATAAAGAGTGTTTTATGCTTGAAGTGAAATTTTCCAGTACGAATAATGGACATAGATGAGAAATCAAACAAAAAATAAAATAAAATGCTCGTGTTGGACCCAGTCTATAGGACTAAATTTATAATTTTGTGATTATATAGGTTAGACTTGTCTAAAACTAATATCCCAAAATTCTTAGGTCTTTTTGTTTTGTATACTCTATTTGGAAGAAGTCCAAAAAATTACTAGGAGTACCAATTACAATTTTCAATCCAGGCGTTAAAACTCATGTTATTAGTAATTCATTTAGTTTGTAAAAATGGATCGATGTGCTAGATTGCTAAATTAAAAACAAATCTAACAAATTTTAGCTATTACTTAGCCGTAATCAATTCATGCGCATATTCATAATTTTCACTTTAATTAACGTCTACATAAAGGTTAATTAAATTACTTTGTTTGGTGGATAAGTCTAGATCTTGTTTATATATAAAATTTATACTTGTGTGATGGAAAATATTGATTACTCACTTTGAGTTCCTTAGACTACAAATTAAAGCTTCTGAACGTACACTCGAGCATAGAGTTTCCTTAAGTTAACTTTCTAAAGTTACTTAACACTGAATTTGAGTATAAATAATAGAAATAATTTAGAGGTGGATGATGTTAAAATATTGGGTTACTGCAATTTTAATAAAATTATTACATAATTTTTCTTCACATCTGAGTTCGAAATAATCAGAGGCGAAGTCAGAATTTTAATCTTATGAATTTTAAGTGTTAATAATGAGATGGAGAATATAAGTAATTATGTTCATATTAAATGTAACTTAATATTTTTAAACAACATAAAAATCCATGTGGAAAAAAATAAAAATTTAAAATTTTAATAGTTTATAAATTCACAATTCAAAAATTTAAAAGTCAATGGTAAGAATAGAAAGATTGAACTCATGAGTTAAAATCTTAGATCTGTTTTTATTGACGAGATAAACATATTTGTATTTATATCAGAATAGTATATTAAAACTGAGACAAGTTATTTAATGTTATTTTGAAGCGATTAATTGATATATGTACTAGTATACATAGTTACTTGTAGAATTAAAATAATGCATGAACATGTACGAATAGTAGCTTATTAATGAAACTAATTTGCATAATATATTATAACATTATAATGACAGAATATTTTTAGGAGTGCATTAGTAAAATAAATATTGTTATCATATTAAGTGAGTTTGAACAGTAAAGCTGGCATGCAACTTTTTTATATAATTTGATTCTTCTAGTTTCTAGTCTTATGCATGCCGCGTTATCAGTATTCATAAATTTAGTTCCTATTTAATTTTCTTGTTTTATAAGGCTGGAAACTTTGGTGTATCCGTGATTATTGACGAGACACACGGAATTCTTGTGCGTATTCCATACGTAAATATTATTTAATTTTGTGACTACATTACAACTACAAACTGCCTCCCTTTTTTTGAGAAAAAAATTCGGTTGACGTTGATGATGAAAACATGCATGCATGGGAATTAGCTTCTCCATTCTTCCTTTGTTATTATTGTTCCCTTTTATTTACCTTAGAGTAGTAAATTAATTTTAACTTGTAACTCAATATAAAACTTAAATTTACTGTCGATTTGCTTTTTGTGAAAATTTGTATGGCTTAAGCCACTGATTTTTGAGAAATAGCCAATGTTCAAAATTTCGTTAAAAAATAAACATTTTTGATGTGGAAGATATTGACAGAATAGCATTACCATGAATTTCAAACTTAAACAAGTGAAAGATTTAAAAATAGTGTCATGGATTTTGCACTTAAGTCAAACTCCTGCTGCCGATGTTTGTGGATCGAATTCCATCTTTTTTAAGTTTGAAATATCATGGATTACAAAATTGGCTATTTTTAAAATTTTACCGGAGAAAAATTGTGCAGTTTTTATGGCCTGGCCTGCTGAACTTTTGGGCCATTCTCAATGTATAGAGAGGACAGTTGATCTGGCTG